AAACCAGAATATGTATCAATATCACCAAAAACAAATCCACCACCATGAAAATAAAGAATTAATGGTTGATTAGAACATTTCCAATCATTGATTTGTTCATGTTGTATAGAATACATATTTATTTGATTAGTATTATATTGAAATATATGATGTTCAACAAGACAAGATGATGATCTTACTGGAAATAAAGCAGTTAACATTCGTTTTGAATGATAACGAAACTCGTCAATATCATTATCTGTTAAATTTTCACCTAAATCCAGTTGTGGATGATATAGTGTAATTAATTCATCTAAGGCTTTGGAATCTGTATCCATTGTTATTGATCCAGGATATAGAAATGGCAAAAGTTTATTTTGTACGGAAAGAATTCGATGAAGTACAGCCATACGATGATGTTTTGTTAATATTAAAAGATCCTTATCGACGAAAGGTTTAAACAATAACAACGCAATACTACTTGAAAGAATATAAATGAACCAACTACGGAGCATTATGCACGAAGTTTATGCGAGCAATCAATGAGAAGGAACTAAACGTTTTCAATAAATGAAAAGAAGTATTCGTTTTTCTTTTCTTTTATACTCAAACATGACTTGTTCAAGACATGATGTTGGTCGATATGCGTCATATTGATGCATTTAATAGGGGATATTTCTCATTGTATACGAGTGATGTGACGAATGGGGAAAAACGGTAATGATGGGGAGAAGGGAAAAGAAATTTCATGATAATTGAAAAGTGCATACACTATTTGTTTCAAAACTGAGAAGTGTTGAACTTTCTTTTTATATTCTAATGATCTCGTTCTTAATAAAAAGATACGATTTTGGCTGGAAAGAAGTGAAAATTCATTAAAAGTGAGAATGAACTAAAAATAGTCTTGCCGAGATAATTTTATTTGTCTTATTATATATCTCGTTTAATGAAAGTAATAACACTGCAACATTGAAATATTCAATGAAAAAATCTTTTTTTTCCCTTCTAGGTAATGAGTAGTGTGACTCACGCACGAACGATGCCTATTTCGGTATCTTTCCAATTGTATTCTCCTTGATAATTATTGGTTAATGCAATGACTTGTCTATATCAATTACCATTCGATGATTGTGATACCGTGTTCGATAAAACACAGTGAAAACATATTTGCATAGTCATAGATGCGTCATACAGGTTTAACCACGATGTAAACCATGTGGTAGCAGTTTTTTCTTTTCGTGTTTGTTTTGAAACATTCAATTAGGAGAAAAAATATCTTTTGTTTAAAGAAAACAATTAGATAAATCATAAGGAGGATGCATTGTTTTGATAATATTTTTCAAGTAGTATTATATTGACGATACAGCATCAAACATCGAAGTACATTGTATACTTTATCTTCAGCAAGCTACATAAGAGTACAGTGAATAATTATGCACATATTTACTGCCATCAATACATTTTGCATGATGAGAAAAATATTATCTCGAAAGAAAATATGAAATATAGTAGGTGAATGGTTTAAAGGAAAATGCAAAATATTCTTATTACTCACTAAGAGGGACTCTATCATTACCCTGGATGGCAATGTTTAATGAGCGATTGCATCACCCTGTCGTGTCTGTGTCTACATCAATACAATTGTACACCTATATATTAGTAGTTACACAAGAGAAAAACAATAGAAATAGATATTTTGACAGTCAACACTATAAATAAAAAGTTATATTGTGAAAAGAAGAGAAGAGATGTGAACTGTAACGTTCAATATCCCCTAGAATTGTTCTTTTATGACAAAAAATCTCTTTGGAGAAGAATGAATAATTTATTAACATTGCTGAATTATAGATAAATTAACTAATCATTGAAAAGAAAGACATGAAGATTATATGACGTGGTACATCGACAGTTAAATTCTCGACGTTTAAGCTCTCGTTGATTAATTTCCAAAGAAACAAAGTCAATATTCGATCACTTTGTTCAACTCAAAACTAGTGAAGAGACATAAGTTACGTCTTTCTATGAGATTGATGAGTTGCTGTTAAATTCCTTCATAGCTAAGTGAATAATATTTACGAAAACAAATAAGTTTTTCGAATTAGTTTTTTTTTATCTATTCTCCATTACTCTTCTATTTCGTTCTATTATTATTAGTATATAATGTTAATTGGAAAATAATCCAAAAATAAGGATGAACTTGTACTTGATGGGTTGTGTTACCATCATGCCAATATATGTCAAACAATCTGGCATTGCTGCAGAAATAATTGTGCAGATCGTGTGCGCTTTGATCGTACAAAATACGTTTAACGCATGCATCATTTTCATGCACTAAATCCAGAAGAAACACAGGTCAATGAAATTTAAATCAAAAATTAGGAATAGTGGAACCACATTGCACGATTCACCTCGAAGAATTTTTTCGAAAAAAAATTATTTTCTTGTACACTTTAGTCTCTTGTTTAATGGAGACTCGACTATCATGTAACCATATGGCGTACAGAATATAATCACATAAAGCCAAATAAAGAAATATAGATTCTATACTAATGGCTTGAGTATTATAAAAGTTATGTTTCTTAAAAGAAAAAAGTCCAAATATTAGACTCGAAGTTATTTCTTTGAGCAAAACGAAATATACGACTGTAATCATAGAGCTCACGAAAATCATATTGTATTTAGTTGTATGATATTTGAGTAGATAAAAAAAAATCAACACACGATTTCTTCGTTGTTTGATCTTCAAGCACCAAAGCTTTTGATGCAATCCCTTCAGGATTAGTATATAAACCGTGATGTACGTCTATATAGCCGCTGTTACCAATCACAGAAAGATTATTTTATTCTATTTATTTTGGGTCATATTTTTCATCATCTTTCTACTTAGTTCTCAGAAATATAATAAGAAAATAATTCATATTGTACAACTAGAACTTATTTATATACAGTATGTGATAGTATATCAATAACATATGCTAAGGTCTTCTACGTCTGTATGAGTAGAGGGCTCCTAATTTCTACTCTTATACTTCAATACTTCTGTTATATCTTGTTTGACAAAATCCAGTGAAAATCTATTTTAACATTGAAGATAATTAAAGGGTACGACAAAATTGTATTACTCGAGCTGAATTTAAGATTGATTTATTAATAAATATTGAAGACAATTGTTCTTTTTGGTAAAGAACATAATTAACCAAATTAGTATGTTCTTCATCTTTGACCATCGATATCACTCTATCTTTGGTTGACTTGTTTTTTTCTGAAATATTTTCAAGATTCAATCGATATGAATGATGTTGTCGTTTTTGTTCAATAGCTGATAAAAATTATAATTCAAAGTATTAATACAATAAAAAGTAATCGAAGATAGTTAGATCTATCATACAATGGGTTCGTCTTTAACGTTTCTTTTTTTGTCTCTGATCATAATATACTATAGGAACGAACAATTTTTTCTGAGACGACTATTAAAAATAATATCGTTTGCTGTCTACGAGAGAGTTGTACTGCAAGTTGATTTGCTTTTCGATTTAAGGTATTTCGTCATTTGTCTTGTTGTTTAATGTAGAAGATTCATTTTCGAACGTTTTGGTTGTTTCTTGATGACAATCTAGAAGTGGAAAGATATTTCCACCGTCTCGATAGAAAATGATGGATCACACTGCTCACAAAGTACTGATGAATTAAATTAAAAACTCTAAACTTTCTTTGAATAAACGAATCAAAAGAGTTATCGTTTTAAAAAATTAACAAAAAGATCGTTATAGAGTATATATTTACTTTGATTTTGAAATGTTTCCGATATTGCAGCGCGAACTTTATTCAGTCTTTGTGTTTTTTCTGCAGCGTCATGTAATGGGTGACTCATAATAAGTAGCTGCCATTTGTAATTAATATTTTAATCTCTAAACACGTCTTATTAAAATAGCAGCATTTTCTGCAAGATGCAGTGCGAAAATCTCTTATTTACAAAGAACCGTTCACTATATCTATATCTATATATCTTTTGTTTTTAAAATAAGCAAAGTTCTGTGCAACCAGCTTTCGACGCTGCAAACATGATCCATTGTTGGTAACCCTTAAATGCGTGTTTGTCTTATTTGGTCAATCAGTAAAGTAAACTTATGGCCATCTGTAACTCTCTAAATACATTATGTTTTCTTCACACGTTAGCAATCATTCTTCCTGTTCATGTCACGTTTTGCATTCTCTCGTTGTCACGTGAATTTGTCGTCTAGAAGTCGGTTGATTCAGCTTATACTTGTGGAAGAACAACTTCAATATCATTTTCATGTGACAATGCTGCACCAAATTTCATTACAAACGAAGACGTAAGATCATTTTCATATGCACCTTACTATATTAGAATTCTTGTCGGATACTTAATTTAATTTTGTTGTCTATATCCTCATCTTCGGCTGCTTCTTATCAACTTGTAGCACAAACACGTTCTAGTGAGAAACATTTTTCGTCAATAACGAGGATTGCCTTCTGTGGATGAGATAGAAAAGTGAATTGATTGTTTGCAATAATTGATCATGTTCTCAGCGTTGAAAATTCGTCACATGTAATTTCGCTCATTGGTGCAGCTTTTCACACTGCATCTTCCAATAAATTCTATTATTTCAATAAAATATATCTAGAGATCAATATATGAAATGCAAAGTGCAGCCATTTAATAAGAATCACTTGTTACTTCTGGAAGTACATAAATTATTATTTTCGAGGTCAACATTGTATCAGAGATATTTGATACCCTTTATAATATCCCTGATCCAATGAAACTGAAACACTAATTACAAAAAAGGTAAGCTTAAAAATTTCTTTTTTCCCTGACCTTGCTATAACAAATTAGATTTCAATTGAGAGCGTTCGTGAACAGCAAAAAAACTTTTTTTCAATTCAGCTGGTGTTTACTTAAATTTAAACAACAACAAAAAACATAAATATACAACATGACGACTCTGTCTTCATCGATTTCGATCTGTTTATAATCTTGGAATCGTCCAACATTTCTCTTGTATTTTAAGTAAATCTCAACTTCGTCTCAGACATAAGTGTTCCAAAATCCAAACGATGTTTTTGTTTCTTGAAAAATCAATTCAAATCAGACTTTTGCTTCCAAGTATAACCTTTAAATCCAAATATACAGTTCGAATCCAAACTCAAATTGAATCAAGAGACCTTGATCATTAGTCCAACATACACTCTCGACTTGTTGTAACTCTATTGGTTTTCGATTTTGATTGTATTCCGATTACCAATTGTTCTCGAGTCCATTGGCCAATTTTTTCTTGAGCATATCTACTTTGTGGTGACCAAAGATGAAATAAAGCATATGTATGCATTAATCCTTCACCTTCATCTAATATTACTTCTACACCTGATAATCTCATGTTTTCAGTCATATCACGAATCGCA